TGTTGTATCTGCAAAACTTTGTATTTAGAGATGATTGTGATTTTCACCTGTACGTGTAGGACTAAGACCATGGCACCTTGACTGTTTTGAGGCTTCTTCTTTGGCAAGATGAAAGAATGATAACTATGGGGGCAGCTAGGTGGCACAGTGGATAGAGCACCAGCCCTGAAGTCAGGAGGACCTGTTAGGGATCTGTAGGACGTTGTGGACCACAGGCTGTTCATGAGACTTCACTGATGGGCGAAGGCTCCTCTCCGGTGTTAGTACATGTGCAGAATATCCTGGCTCGGTTCTCTGTCCATGGATCTTGCATTCCCCAATCAGCAGAACTCTGATACTAGGCAAGCTCAAACTATAACACAATGTTGCTAGCTCAAGCACAGTCAGCTCTAGCTCAAAGAGATATCCAGTATTGCTAACTTATGTATCAAGTATTGCTAGTTCATGTATCAAGTATTGGGAACATTCCAGGAACAAGAAGTACGTGGTGTTTTTACGGGTACAGCACAGGGGAAGGACACTGTCAGGATAATGTTGCAAAGAAATGTACTTGTGGATACTTTGATTGTTATTCGCATGGGAAAGATGCCTATTGGTAAAGATATGTAAACCTTGTTGCTTTATTCACTGTTACATTGGGGTGTGTTCCCATGAGTAAAAGATATAAAACGCTGAAGGCAGGACCAGTAGAGAGTAGTAGTAGGGGTAGTAGTAGCGAGTAGAGTAGCTGTGTAGTTGATTACCCGCTTGAGAGAATGGATGAATAAACCTTTTGAAACTACACGTCTCTGTCGACTCTACTCCTTCGTTTTCCGGGGACACCCATAGACTGCAGGTGCAGGTGAGTATGACCCAGGCAGCCCTCCTCAAGTAACGAGGACCGTTACAAGACCTGAGTTCAAATCCAGCCTCTGACCAAACTTGATACTTACTAGCTGAGTGATCCAGGGCAAGTCACTTTACCCCAATTGCCTAAAAAAAAAAAAAAAGAATGATAACTATGCCTCCCCAGACACCCCAGAAGACTCCCCGGATTGGTGCTATGGACAATATGTACAAAATGCACCCATACCTCTCTGCCAGGGGCAGCATATTCTGTCACATGCCTAGACTCCCTCTTCTTTTACTCACAGATACTCATCTCATGTTGTAAGGGAGGGAGATCTGCTTCCTTCTGCCCTCTTTAGGCTATGTGGCCCCACAAAATGAATCTGGAATTTTGTCCTTTTCCTTCGTTCCTTCTGTTCTAAGTGCATAAACTTGAGTTTCCATGCCACGGGGATCCAGGAGTCCAGGAATCCAGACCAGGAGGTGCAGCCCACCTAACAGCAAAACCCTAGAGATCAAGAAGAGTCCAAGACAGCACTGTGATCCTGACTCCACTGTCCTCTCATCCCCAGAGACAGAGGTAGTGGGAGAGGCAGGGGAATTACATGCCCCAAAATATGTGAGAAAATAATTATTTCTCTCCTACTTAATAAACAATTATTATATCAGGACCAAAGTTTTTCTCCTTTTCAAATTCCTCATTCAAAAACCAACTAGTGTGGGAAGTCTCTCTTAGAGATTTACCCAAGCCAAGATCTAATAAGACAGTAAATGTAATTCTAAGTCTGGGCTAATGGGTATATTCCCGCTCATTGTGTTTGCTCAGACAGGTCTGGGAAAGTGTTGATTCTCTCTTTTGTCAGACAGGAGATATGGGAACTGATGTCTCTTTGACCAAGATCTGGGTGACCCAAGTCACATACCCTTATTGTAATATAGCCTAGCCTCTCATTGTAATATCCATTCTCTCATTCATTGTTAACCAATCAGGGTTGATTCCTATCCTGGGGATAGTAATGCTCTTCGAGGAGTATATAAACTCCCATGATTGCTTTGGTCTAAGAGAGACAGTCAACCATCCTTTTATTAATAAATGTGCTGGCCTTATTAATAAAATGATTAAATTACCCAGAAACTATGTCTCTCAAAACTTTTTAATCACCACAAGTATTGAGGGAAATATTTGTATGTCAGTTTTTGCTATATCTTTGAAGTAAACAACTCTTTGTAAAAGTTAATTTAATATGAAATGGTTAAATGCAAACAGGGCTCTAGTGACCAGGCCCCTAATATGTAGGGAACACAAATGATGTGGGTGGGAGCTGATGCCAGAGAATAGAAAATGTCCAACCTCTTCAGTGTACTGGAAAACCCCAAGGGAGGATAACATGTAACACAGTGGGCCTTCTGAGAGTGGGGCCAAAGCAACTATATTACACAGATGGAATAAATATGCAGGGCTCTGTAGGTAAATGTTTAACAACCAACCCTCTGGGGAGAGGGCGGTGTATACATGACACATTTTAAAGTTTTATCAGCATTATTAACATTTTCTTTTTTTTTTTTAATGAGGCAATTGGGGTTAAGTGACTTGCCCAGAGTCACACAGCTAGTGAGTGCTATATGTTTGAGGCCATATTTGAACTCAGGTACTCCTGACTCCAGGGCCGGTGCTCTATCCACTGTGCCATCTAACATTTTCTTAAGACTTGATAATCAATAAAACGGTAAGTCAAGTCCTGACTGATTTGTGGCATTTACTGGTTTCTGAGGTCATAGTACCACAAGCTGCCTCAAGCATACATCCCTGCAGATATGTCTTACAGGGAAAAGATTACACTTCCCAGGATGCCTGGACCCAGATGGCACAAGTGTTCATTTGAGAGAGAATAATAATAGCTCACATTTATGTAGAGATTTTCGGTTTTCACAGCACTTTGCATAAATTATCACATTTTATCCTCACAACAACCCTTTGGGTTATATGCTATGATTATCCTCATTTTACAAATGAGGAACCAAAGGCTGAGAGCAGTTAAATGACTTGCCGAAGATTACACAGCTATCTGAAGCAGGATTCACACTCAAGTCCTCTTGACACCATGTCAATGAATAGCCACTTGAGAACTATACTTTCCATAAGTTCATTTGCTCATGGCACAGATAGATACAAGGTTTGCCTTTGTCTAGCAGGACAGGGGGTGATTTTATAGCTTCCAGGACTCCCCTCTCCTAATATTTATCTCTTCGATGAACTCCACTGAATCATGAAATTCTCACAACTCAAGATTCATTCTTTTGTTTCAGGCCAAAGGAGAGCAGCATACTGTAGCGGGAAAAATACTGGACTAGGAAACAGATTCACTGGGATAGATAGAGATAGATAGATAGATGATAGATAGATAGATAGATAGATAGATAGATAGATAGATAGATAGATAGATAGATACTGATAGAACTGATTGACTGATAGAACATAGTTATGAGAAATGAGAAAGACAAAAATGTGTGGATCCAGATGAACTTTAGAGTTCTATCCCTAAGGTCACAGGGGAAGGCCACAGAACAAGGAAAGGCATTCTTGGCAGTGCCAAGACAAACTGACATCCAAGTAGAGATGTAGAGACTGTCTTCACTGATATTTCCCATCTCCAACTCTAGCAGAGACAGTTTGCCCAAGTTTTTCCTATCAAAGGCCTGTGTCTTTGAAGTCCTCAGAAATACTTTAGGAAGAAGACAAGCTATACCCTAGAAGCAAGATAACTAGAGATGTTTCCTGGGGCTTTTAAATCTGATCGGGGCATAAGTGAGCCAGAGAGTCCTATTTATTACTGAGAAAGCCAAAATACGAATCTAGCAAGTGAGTTAAGAGATTCAGACCTTATGAATTATTCCAGGATCCAAGGAGGGAAATGAAGAAGTTTGGCTTTGAGAGGAAAATGATGGCAGGTATTTGGGGGCCTTTTATTTAGGGGAAAGCTTAGATTTTTTTTTCTACCTGACTCCAGAGAACAGATCTAGACAATAGGGATAGAATGATGTGAAGTCTGATTTTGATTTCGAGTGGAGGGAGACTCCTAACATTGGAATTGTCTGAGGGTTTCCTGGGATGCCTAATAGAAGGTCTTAAACTGGTGATGAGAAAGCCACTCATCAAGAATGGCAGAGGGGATCTTCCTCGAGTACAGGTCATACTAGGGTCCCTTCTAATTCAGAGGTTCTATGATTCTATCCCAGATAATCTATTTCCTAGTCTAGTATTTTTCCCACTACAGTATGCTGCTCTCCTTTGGACTGAAACAAAAGAATGAATCTTGAGTTACGAGAATTTCACGAATCAATGGAATTCATGGAGGAGATAAATATTAGGAGCGGGGAGTCCTGGAAGCTATAAAATCACCCCTGTCCTGCTAGACAAAGGCAAACCTTGTCACTTCAAACTCCTAGTGACCTTGACTTGGCACTGGCTGTCACCAAGCCTGGAATGTTCTGCCGCTTCACATCCAAATCTTGGTTTTCTTGGCTTCCTTCAGGACTCAGCCTAAGTCCCATCTTTTGCAGGAAGCCTTCCTCCCAAACACTGATACTGCCTTGCCTGCTCAGATTGCCTTCCACCTATACCAGGGATTCTTAACCTTTTTTGTGTCATGGCAGTTTTGTGTCCACAGAGGTCTGATGAAGCCCATGGATCCTTTCACAGTATGATATTTTTAAATAATTGAAGGCAATGCCACATTTCAGTTACTATGTTATTTCTTTCCCATAAAAATTTAGGAGTGCCCTCAAATCCATTCACAGACTCCTTGGACCCTAGGTTAAAAAATGCTTAAATTACATGTATATTCCTGCATGGACCCAATTGTTTACATATTGTCTCCCCCATTTGAACATATGCTTTTGGAGAGCAGGGACCATGTTTTGCCTTTCTTTGCACCTAAAAACTTAGCAAAGTGTCTGGAACATAGTAAGCTGTTAATAACTACTTGTTGACAGACTGACTAACCTTGAGTTGTTTGACCTCCATCCTGGGCATGCACAGGAGATGATTCTAAGGTAGGATTTAGAGGCTTCTACAGCTGCCCCTAGGGTCAGCTTTTCCAAACCCAGAAAGAGTTTTACAAGCTCCGTGTGAGGTTTATTTTGGAAAGATAATGACCTCCTATTCTATGTAGGCCCATAAATCACAGAAATATTCAAACAAGTAACTCTGAGCCCGCTGCTGGGATTTCAGTTTGGAAACTAGAAGAATATTGAAGATCCAAAGAGAAAGTCAGAGGTTCAGGCTCCAGAGGCAACAATCCAGCCTTTTGAGACCAGTGACTGCCCATCACCTTAGTACCACACAAAAATCTTCCTCTGAGAGCCAACAGATGAATGCCCTTCTCATGAGACTGAAGAGGAGAGAGCCAGCCTCAGTGCATTGCATGTACAGGATGGCCTATTGCAAAAGGCTTTCCAGAGACAGTTTCAGGTTTGTTCTTTTTCCAGCTATAGGGAGAAAATGAAGGACACAGACCCCTCCCCAGCTCCACAGGCTACAACTGACCCCACTTTTCAGGGTTAGAAAAGGCTAACTAGAATATAAGGTTATACATTATTCTAATATAGAAACTATCCCTTCTACTCTTAGAAGAATTACCAGATTAGGGGGCATGAGTTAAAAAAAAATTGACCTGGTTAAAAAATCATTTTCCTTAAAGAGCTGGCATGCTTCATCACGCTCTGGAAGTGACCCTCAGTCCTCAAAGTCCATGGCAGCAAAGTATAAGCTCTGGAGCGTTCTACCAAGCTGGATAAACACCAAGGACAGACCTGTTAACTAACTGTGTTCTTGTCTTTCAAAGGTCAGCCTAGCTATGAACAGAGGGACTCATCACCACAAGCATGGCCACTACATGATGAAATGCTTTGGAGGAAGCTTGAGATAGGGAAAAGAACAGTAGCTCTCAATTGAGTCATGATTTGAAATACAGATCCACTGTGTGACCCTGAATCAGTCATTTTTCTTCTCTGGGCCTCAGTTTGCTTCTCTGTAAAAGGAAGTTGCACATGTACTGAAATATTCACAGTAGTACTTTTTATGGTAGAAAAAAATAGACAAAAGGAAAGGTTGCCAATGGGGCAAAAATCAAACCAATTGTGGTATACAGATGCAATGGAAAATTATTGCACCATAAGAAATGGGAAACTTGAGGAATTCGGAGAAACATGAGAAGATTTACATGAACCAATGCCAAGTGAAGTAAGCAGAATCAGGAAAATAGTATGACCCCCCAGTAATGGAAATAATAAAATAAAGGCCAATACTATGTAATTATAAAGACCAATCTCAGAGATAAGAAAATATTCACTTTAATTTTGTTGAAGTGTGGAGCTATTTGGGGGCATGGGGGAGAGGGGGAGGTAATCATATATATAGAAATGATTGTAACTTTAAAACAAAAGATATCAAGGGGATTAGAGGAAATGATCTCTAAGGTCTTTTCCTGTCCCATGATTCTGTGAAAAATCTAAGGATTCGCACTGATGAAATCAGAGATCTTTCAAAGTATCAAGACTACTTCACTTTCAAGACCCTACTTTTCTCCCTTTAAGAGGGTGGAAGGAGCCAGTCTATGACTGAAGAAAGGTCAACTTTGGCTATATGTTACCAAGGCTCATTACTTTCCATGAACAGAGTTACATGGAGCATAGACTTTCAGCCAACCATTGTGCTGTGGGACATGAGATAATTACTTCCAAAAGATTAGGGTCCTTTACACTGTGCTCCAGAATACTAGCATTCTGTGCAGGAAGGAGATAGCAAGAGGCTGTGGAATGAGAACTAAACTTAGGAGTTAGAGGCACTGGTCCAAATTCCAGTTTTGCAGTTTACTGTCTGTTATTTTTGCGTGGTCTTGCAAGGTAAGACATATGTTCACACCTTCCTTGAGGGAAAGTATTTGTCTTTGTATCCCCAACACTTAGTACAGTGCTTTCCACATAGTAGGCACTAAATAAATGTTTGTTGATTGATTATGTGATCTTATGTAAGTCACAACCTCTCTGGGTCCCAATTTCCTCATCTCTAAAACAATAGAATTTAAATATATGGTCATTAATGTTCTTTCCCACTCTTTTTGATCCCTTCACATATGTAGAAAGTGGCAGAACCACACTCAGGTCTTCTGACTCCAAATCTAGGGCCCTTTCCACTCTATCACTCAAATACTCAAATGTATCTGTAATCACACTGATTTCGGAGGTCCCTCCAATTGTGCAAATTGCAGCCTATCTATGCCTCTCCATCCTGTGTGACTGTTGTCCCCATCCTTGTCCTCCCAAAAATCACCATGAAAGACCCATCTAATATCCCAAAGGCCTTCCTCACTTTCTTCTGACATAGCAAGGGTACCAGTGAAGCATTTTAGCTGCCCACCTATTTTCCTTTGTTCTTACCATTCAATCAGCCCATCTTCCCAACCTACCATACAATTCCTTAATGATGTCCTTTATCCCTGCTGTTCTTTGGGGTTCTTTATTAGTTATATTCATGCCCACCATGAGCCTCTCCATTGTTCTATATGAGATTCTCATTGTTAGCTCTCCAGTGGCAATGGTGTTCCATGTCTCATTGATACATAGTAACATAAGCAAAATGTTAGCATTGAAAAGATGAGCATTTGCCATCATGCGAAGCCTGGAGTGCGTTATAGCTTTGCAATTTTCCATAATCAATCCAGAGAATCTTCTCCTCTTTATCAACCCTAGACCTACATCATATGTATTTCTGTACTGTTTATCCTAGATATACATGCTGTTGGACAAGCTCTTTAAGGTCTAGATCAGAATACATGTTGAAATTTAGGTACTTGACATTGTTTATCCACACGGGCTCTCCCGAATGGATGGACAGGCCAAACTCCTTTGAGTGATTATAGATCTCTTCTAGCAGAATATTGTTGGATAAAATACTGGTCCCTAAAATTAGCAAAGCACATTTGCAAAGTTCTTCCTGCATATTATTTCATTTGATCCTTGACAGTCTTAGATCTTTACAACTCTGTGAGCCACACAGAGTATGTTTTACATCCGCATCTCATAGAGGAGGAAAGTGAAGCCCACAAAGTTGAAATGACTTGCCTATGGTTATATAATAAGCGGCATGGGCAGTATCTGATTCCAAGTGTCTTGACTCTTAGCCCTGTGCTCTTTCCAGAAGTCAAGGACACTTAATGAAACACACCTCCTGCCAATAAGAGCAGGATACCTTATAAGCCTTTTATTGATTATCCATTTCTACCAATTCATCATTATATAATATACTGTGGAAAGCAGCCTATGTATGTTCTCTAGTCCTCCCTCTCATCATAATGCCTTGTCTCTCTGAAGCTGGCAGAGACGGCCTCTGAAGTACTTTTTATACTCCCAAGAAATGCTTCCCTTGGGTAATAGGTTTTCCTGGATATAACCAAGAAGCATAAATAATAAATATAAGAAAAGGGGTGGGGTCAAACAAAACAGCTTTACTAGGCTCTACATAAAGACAAGATAATTTTAATCTGTTATCCATGATCCAGGGCCTCCCCAGAAATAAATCAGTTGTATGAGGCTGAGGTAATAAAAGGCAACTGGGAGATCATCAATAAATACCAACCTACACAAAGAATTGTTCTCCCATCTATATAGAATCTTCATGCAAATCATGGCAGCTAGGCAGTACAATACATAAAGAGTGGGACTTGAAATCAGGAAGACCTGAGTTCAAATCCTAACTCAGTTGCTCCCTGGCTGGGTGAGCCTGGATAGATCACTTAACCTCTTTGCACATCAGTTTCTTTATCAGTAAAATGAATTAATAATAGACCTACTTTCCAGGGTTGCTGTAAGGGTCGAATGAGTTAACATATGTAAAGCACATTGCAAACTTTAAAGAGCTAAATGAACGCTAGTTGTTGTTATTATTATTATTAAATCATCTATACATGAATCAAGAGAATCCTCAATGAGGGTATTAGTAGGGAAAAGGTAAGGCTTTCACAAGAACTATTCAACAATGGCCATTTTTTTTTACCATTTCACAATTATGCGAAAGATAGAAAATATAAGATTCCATTGTGCTTAAATTTGTTCATTGTGAAAAAATTAATTTGATTTAGTAGGACAAAAAGCCACTTTGCAGGCTATATTACATCTATATTATCAAAATGATGCAATATTTCTAGGAAAAAGGATGAAGTACAGGAACCAAATATGTACTAGTAGACTAATGAGTATTAAAATGGAAGGCAGGGGCAGCTAGGTGGCACGATGGATAGGGCACCAGCCCTGGAGTCAGGAGAACCTGAGTTCAAATTCAGCCTCAGACACTTGACACTTACTAGCTGTGTAACCCTGGGCAATCATTTAACTCTGACTGCCTCACAGAAAAACAATATTGGAAGGCATGAGATGGCAGATTAGGGGCAACTATCTAGCTGAGTTCTCCCAACTTTCCTCTTCAAATTATTTTAAAATAGTGCCTCAAATAATTTTTGGAGCAGCAGAGCCAACAAAAAGTCAAGGTAAGATATTTTTTCCAACTTCAGAAAACTTAAGAGGTGGGCAGGAGAAGTCTATAGAACTGGGGTGTGGTCTGGTGAAGCTGTAGTGTACAGAGCCCACAAATGTGGTGGTAGCAACAGCAGCCGCAGTAACAGCAGCTTCAGGAACTCTCAGCTGAGAGATTATGAGGAGTTCAGACAACTACTGAGAAAGAGATTCTAGGGGGCCCCATGCTGGCATTAAGTACAGCTGGTGCTGACTGGCAACTCTATTACCCATACACAAGTCTGGGTCATGCTGTAGTTTCAGGGTAGAGAAGAGCATGGGGTCAGCCACAAAGGAACAAGGACCATTGTCACAGTACCAAAGCAAAGTGCTAGTGCGTGCAGCTGCAGGGAACCAGAGGCTCTTCCTTGGCAAAGACAGGAGAGCATGTAGGGCTCAGAGGGGAGAAGGTCCAAGGCCTCTTCTGGTCCTGCTTTTTTCACGTTGCATCAGTTCATGTAAACCTTTCCCTGCTTCTCTGTACTCTTCATATTCATTGCACTGTAATATCAATTACATTCATGTCCCACAGTTCTCTTAGCCATTACCTATAGATACCATCTCCATCTATTCAAGTCCCTTCCTTTCTTTTTCTTTCAGTATTATTTTATTTTTAGTTCCATATTCTCTCCCTCCCCCACCTTCCACCCATTGAGAAAGTGAGAAGAGGGTTTTCTGTGTCATATGAGTAACAAGATAGAGGGCTAGACATTTTCTCTGATCCCCATGACCTCTCGAATCTCTCCAAAACAAATTATTCACCAAAGATAAAATAATTTCAGTTGTCTTCATGGTCTATGACACGCAAAATACAAAAAAACAAAAGTTAAAAAAAGCTAAAACATGAACTGATGCTTGCTGACCCTGAGCTCACTCAGCACCCCTCCCCTACCTCCCCCACTACAAGCATCGAGGCAGCACTAGCAGACCCAAGGACCTGACAAAGGCTTACAACAAAACCCACCCCTTTACCTCGGTATCCCCTTCCTCTTTCCAGTGCTATAGAACCCCCAGTTACAGGGCACAGAAGTTTACCTGGACCACAACAACCAAGCAGCATAGCTACGGATCTTCTGGAGCAAAAACCTTTGGGGGTCGCAACCTCATAGCACCAATGCTGCACCAGCACTACAAAGATTTGATCTACCAATTGCCCCAGCAGACAACCTCTTAACACCAGCACAGCAGCTTTCTGAACTGCCAGTGCCAGGCCAGAGAACTAAGGAATACAGGAAGTGGGATGGGACACTGTATGGGAAGTGTAGCACTCTACTAACCTTGAAGGAAAGAGAAGAGCCTCAAGGTGGAACCAGTTCTGACCACTGAAAAATCAATTAGGGGCCGAGGACTAGGCTCCTGAGCCATGAATCGCCTAGCATGGGAGGAGGCTGAGACACTTTGAAATTCAGTTCCCAAAGAAACCACCTTTAGAGGGGACAGTGAATAGGGGGAAAGCAGGAAGAAAAAGAAAGATTGAAATTACAGAAGATCTCAGAAAGAAGAAAATGCAAAGACCTCTAACATGAGCAGATAAAGCAACAGGGAAACATATAACAACACAAGGAAATATGGCCTTCAAATCTAGCAAATGAGGTCAGATATCTATGAATAAATACTGCAAAATGAAGGGAAATGACCTAACACTAGAGGAAACAGAGGAGTCTGTGTAGTAGGTGGAGGATATGAAATACACCACACATTATTCCTGAGGGGTTCAAAAAAGAAATGGGAATTATGAAAACAGAATTTTCTGCCTACACAGCAAAAATAATGAGTAGAATAGAAAAACTGGAACAGGGGATAGCAAGTTTCACCAAAGAAACAAGCAAAAAAAAAATAGATTGAGAATCAAATCTACGGAAGTGGAGGGTGATCTAGAAGAAGAGAAGCGAAAAAAAATAACATTAGAAGAAATTATGATCATTATGCAAGCAAAATATTCTGATGAAAAGAGATAATCTAAGGATCAGAGCTCTCCCAGAAAAGCATGACAGGAATTCAAGAAATAATAGAAGACAACTGCCCAGAACTTCTGAACATAGAAAGTGAAATTCCAATTGAAAGAATTCACATATCACCTTACCAAAAAACAAATAAACAACAAAGCTTCAAACTCTAAGATATATAAATGTATTTATATTATGTATGTTAACTTATTGATTCAATTCAAAAACACATTCTGTAATCAATCAGTAGAAAAATCTTCAAATACGAAGGAAAGGCTATTCAAATAATTCTAGACTGTTCTGTACTCGTTAGAAAACATAGGAGAGTATGGAATTATGTGTTCCAAAGAGCTGTGGAGCTCAGGATGCCATGCATGGTGTCCTACCTAGCAAATCTGAGCTTAACCATACAAGAAAAAGATGGACAGTCAATAACAAAAAGGCATTTGAAACATTTTTAGAAAGAAAACAGAACTGAAGAGATTATTTGCTACTCAAACACTCCAAACAACAAAAATTCAGGAGGAAAGGAGGCAAGACAAAGTCCATTATAAATCTATATAGTCACGTAAAATAAATTTCCACATTGACCATGTCCCAAAAAAAGAAAGAAAAAGAAAGGAAGGAAGGAAGGAAGGAAGAAGGGAAGAAGGGAGGAAGGAAGGAAGAAAAAAGAAGGGAGGGAGGGAAGGAAGAAACAAAGGAAGGAAGAAAACAAAAGAACACAATGCTTTGATCTGCACTTTGAGTCAATCACTTCTCTATCTTGAGGTAGATAATATGTAAAAATATTTCTTAATGAATCCTTTGGAATTGTGGTAGGTCTTCAAGTGGATCAGAGCTCCTAAGTCTTTCAGAGTTGATAGTCCTTACAATATTTTTGTTACTGTATAAATCATTCTGATTCTGCTCACTTTGCTCTGCATCAGTTCATACAAGTCTTCCTTGGGTTTTTTTAAACCATCTTCTTCATCACTTCTTACAGCTCAAGTATTAACATGACATTCATATACACTTAATTTGATTAGGCATTCTCCAATTGATGGGCATACCCTTAATATCCAATCCTTTGCTACCACTAGAAGAGCTGCTATCAATGTTTTTGCATATGGGTCTTTGCCTTGATTTCTTTGGGGGATAGATTTAGTAGTGGCATCACTGGATCAAAGGGTACATGCAGTTTAGTAGGTTTTGGGGCACATTTCCAAATTGCTCTTCAGAACAACAGCTCCACTAACATTGCATTAAGGTACTTGTTTTCCCACATCCTCTCCAGAATTTGTCATTTTGCTTTTTTGTCATTTCAGTTTATCTGATGGATGTGAGGTGGTACCTCAGAGCTGTTTTAATTTGCATTTCTCTTATTTTAGTGTTTTAGAGCATTTTTTCATAGGACTATTTATGGTTTGATTTCTTCCTCTGAAAACTACCTATTCATGTCCTCTGATTATTTATCAATTAAACAATGGCTCTTATTTTTATGCAAAAAAAAATAAGAAATGGGATGTGATGGAATGTGATGGTAATCTCTATCCCCTCTAATTTCTCATAGCCTTACTAGCCCTCTCCTTTGCACCAATCACATTCTCCCTTATATTTTGGCCATATTCGTCCTTGTCCTTCTCTCCATAAATTATAAGATTCTTGAAAACCAGACTTGCATCATCTGTATTTGTATAACCCATAGTACCTCATAGACACAAGGGATTGCATACTAAGAAATAAAGTTATGCTGGCAGAATAGGATCTTTTGGCACTTCGCAGCTTATGGACTGAAAAAGAGTTGAGTATTAAAGGAACAATACTACTTTTTTCTCCTCTCATTGGAGGAGAAACAACACAAAAAGTGAGGAGGCTCAGGATGAGATTTTTCAAACTGGGATGCCACGCTGCAGTGAGAGCAATTTCTTTTACAATTTTGGTTGAGGTTGAGGATGTAAGTCAAGAGTCTGTTGGAGAGACAGACGGAAAAGGAAAAGGAGAGAAACAGGCTATGGCATAGCAATGGTTAGCTGGAGGGAGTTGTATTCCATGTCTTGTTGACATAGAATAACATCAACAGAATGGTAGTACTAAAGAGATGGGCCTTTGCTTTCATGGAAAACGGATTCATTAAAGGAGATTTGAAATTTCCCATAAGGAATCAAGGCTTTTACTTTCCTCCTCCTATTCAGTTCTAAGCACAATTCACTGTCCATCTGTACTGTACCAGACACACATCTTGTTGGACAAGCTCTTTAGTGAGTCAGTCGAAAAGCAGGTTGAAATTTGGGCACTAGACTTTATCCATACACTTGATCTTTTCTGTGTGGATGGATAGGACAAACTACTTTGAGTGATAACAGATTTTTTTCAATTCTTGTGCAGCATTTAAAGGTTTGATTCAATCAGCATAATGCCATCCACAAACAGGAACACCTAGAGGACCTCAACATTCATAGAGAATCCTTCTTCAGTTTGGACTCTGTGTTGAATCTATTTCATCACAATTGTTAATACCTTCATGATTCCCCTGTTGGGTTGTTTCTGTTGTATCTTCACTATTTATCTTTGTTACAAAGTAGGGCAGTCTGGGGAACAGGAGGGGAAGGATATATTTGGGAAGGTGATACAAAAACAAAAAATATAACCAATAAAAAAGTTTTTAAAAGATGAAAATAACAGTTTTCTTTTCTGTAGTAGCTCTTTCCAATTATATTGTCGTAGTCATTGTGCGAAAGCAGTGACCTGCTTATACCTTCATGCTTTCCACTATTCCAAAAACCAGAAATCATGCTGCAAATGGAAAGGACAATGAACTAGGAGTCCAGAAACCTGAGTTCACGTATTAGCACTATCAATAAACATACAGAACCTAGCCCAAAGCAGGCTAAGTTCAACACATGATTGTTCGTTGAAAGATTGGTATACTGATTCAAGGGTCTAGAGAGACCTGGGTTTTAATACTAATTTAATTACTAATTTAATACTAATTTAATTTAATACTAATTGCTAACAATGCTTTATGAACATACGCAAGTCATTTAACATTTCTGAGCCTCAGTTTCCCAATCTATAAAATGGGGGAAATAATACCTATAGCACTATTCAATTTCACAAGAATAATATATGAGAAACCTTGTGCAAGCCTTGAACGACTGTATAAAAAATGACTACTCTTATTATTGAATGAATGTAGATTAATACCAATCCATGAGACAGGAAGAAAAACTGTAATCTGGGAACAACACGAAGCTAAATACAATGAACTAAATACTATGGCAGATGAAAGCTAAGTTCCTGGTCCTCTGACCTTGAGTAAATTTTTACGTAAACCTGTTGTTTATCGAAAAATTCATAGGGTAAAAAGTATTAACGAATGTTATCTGAAATGAACTGCAGAAAACATCATTTTACATTTTATTTTTTAAAACACACAAGTTCATTCAACCTTTCAAAATGGGATCAGTCCTTTGAGATTCACTGTTGTAGTTAAGGTTTCTGTCTTTTTAAAAGAGGGTGGCATTCAGTTACCGGAGGCCTAAACATAGGCCAAAGGCAACTGAAATCCCGCCCTCTTTCTGTGACGTTCATGCTTCGCGGCTTCTGATTGCAGCCTTTAGGCGTCAACCCCAGGGTGTGTATCTTACTGGGACACTGTGAAGATCTCCCCTTTCGTTTGCTGAGCGGTCGGGTGTATTGCTCTGCACTCCGCACCCCCAGGGGCCCCCGACCGGGCTGAACTGGAGATATCTTTCTGTGGCGCCCTCCCGCGCCGGATCTCTTTCTCCCTGGGGCGGGACGATTTCCAGAGGCTCCGGTCACTATGGTCAGTGCAATGGGTGGGACTGGAGGGGATATGGGGTTCCCAAGCCCGGGGCACATGTGCACACTCTGGAAAGGGGGCGAGACATAATAGAGGGGGTGGAGAGGGGACTGCAGAACTCCCGGTCCACCTCCACCCCAAGCCCTTCTGGCTAAGATCCCTTTTTGCTTGTAGGGCCTTCCTTCCCATCCCCAAATCCCACCCACCCGTAACCCTATCCCTGGGACCCAGGAGTCCCTGAGAGGGGAAGTCTAGGGGATCCGGACTGTCCCCCGTGCACGCTCTGAATCGGGGCGCTAAGGGCGGGATGGGGGTGCTGGGGATGGATTTTGGTAGTGAGTGTGAGGGTGAAGGTGGCCAGGTGGGGGAAAGGGGGAGGAAGACCCAGGCCGGGAAACCCTGCATCCCTTACCACGCCAGCTTCCCAAGGTGCCCCGCCCCTTCTTCCCCTCCTCCCCCCACAAAATTTAGCTGACCCCACGAGAACCTTTTTGGGAAAGAACCCTCAATTTGGAGTCAGCTTGAAAACTGGAGTACCTGGGCTCGAATGGAGACCCATCTGTTTACCTCCTTTATGACCTTGGGCAAGTCATTTGGCCCCTCAGCCTCAGTTTCCTCATCTGTAAAAAACTGAGGGGATTGAACTAGTTGAACTCTATGGTTTCTTTTAGCCCTAAGTCCAGTCCTGTGAATGAATCAATTCATTGAAGCATATACCAAGCGCCCACTGTGTGCCAGGCATAAGCTTTAAATCCTACGAAATACCCTCAAACCAGACCTCACCCAACTAGGTTTGACTTGATGCCTTTTTTATTTCGTGTTCAGGCGCATTCCCCACCAGTTCTTTTGGGGCAAGAACGAGATGCCAACCCCTTCCTCCTTCCCATCGAGAGACAAGTTCGAGGGTTTGGTGCGTTGGAGCCAGGGAGGGGGTGGAAGGGCTGGGGAAGGGGTTACCCCATCCCAAACACCCTCTGCCAGAGTCTGGTGATCCCGGAGGTATTTATCACACCTGGCCAGCCAGGCAGCCCTTCTTTATCGTTGTTGAGCGTACTTTTGAGACGTGAGCCCCACTCTTCTCTCCACCCCTCTTCTGACAGGGTGGGCTGCAGCGGGGACAGGACCGGATTTCACTCGTTAGGCTCAAATTTCCAGTGTCAGTAATAGCCAGGGCACCAGTATAAGAGGTACTAAGACCCGAGAGCAGGGTTGGGGGTGAGCAGACAGCATGAAGAGAGACTAAAGGGGGTTGGTTCACTCTCCTTGCCTTCCCCCTCAGCTTCTAAAGTGGGAAGAAGAAAAAGACACTCACTTTGAATCAGAAGAACCAGGTTCGAATCATGACTGGTATTTACTACCTGAAGGACTTTGTGCAAGTCACTTTACCTATGTGAGAGTCATTTTCTTCATCTGTAAAATGGGGAGGCCTGAATGTTTTCTAAAGGACTCTTCCAACCCTAAATCTTAGCCTATGAATGGGTCAGCCCGTGAGGTCACCTTCGGCCAGACTCTCTAGCCCTGAGGGATGTGTGGGGTCAGGGGCACAGTTCAAGCTGTGGTACATTCCAAGCCCTGCCCTGGCGTGGATCTGAGTAATCGCGTGCCGGAAGAGTCAATCAACCAAGCTGTTTACTGTGGGACAGAGAGAGCTGTTGGGACTGCCTTGGGGTAAAACTAGTCAGTCTGGTCCTGACCATGACGTGCAGTGTGCTTCTCTGAGGAACTTTCAAGGACACTTGGTGGTTGCTCTGTTCAGTTCCAGTCAGAGGACAGGGATTAAACACCAGTTCTTTTGCTTACAGAGATACTGAGCATCTTGGGGGTGCCAGGGGCACTCAGAAGGTGCCCTTTGAATACCCATTTACCTGAATGGAAAACAAGAAAAATAATAAACCAGGTGGTTAAGATGTGTGTTAAGGACCAGGTTATCTTATCAGCTAGCACCACCTAGCGTTTCTCTGAACTGTGGACTCAAGGATAGGGACTGGACAAGGGATTTCACTGGTGTAGGGAGCCTCAGCTTGATTCAACTAGAGTTAAAATGACTTGCCCAGGGTCACACAGCCTCCGGAAGTCAAAATGGGGATTTGATCCCAGGTCTTCCTGGTTTCCCAGTACAGGCAGCTTCTCTTAATGTTAGCAGTGGTAAAAGGCCATCTAATCTAGTCTCCAACAGCCCCTTTTTAGAATCCCATATTATAGTCTCTGACTGAGACTCTGTGTGGGTAATTAGAAAAGGCAAAAGGGAAAGGGAGAGTGGAGGTTAGCAAGAAATACAGGAAAAGGACTTGTTTAAGAAGCAGTATAAACAAAGATTTATATTAGAGTGAACGGGAAGTAACAGACAGACATACCTGAAGTTCAGAAAGGAAGCTGCGTCTTCTATCTTCTATAGCCCAGATCAGAAGGAGGCAAGGCTCCAAACAATCATGTAATTTTAGAATGGAGAAGGATGTCAGATGTCATCTTTTCCAACCTCTTTGTTATATAGATAAGGAAATGATACCTGGAGAAAGTGAGTGACTTGCCCAAGGTCATAAGACCTTAAGTTGCAGAATTTGAACTGGGTCCTTTGGATCTCCAAAACGAAGGTTCTTAAACCATGCTACCATACAGATGGCTAGTAGCCCTGAGTCAATGGCAAACCATCAAGTAGGGACCTCCTGTACTTACTCAGGTTTTCAGTTAAACAATTAATTGTCTGGTATGTGTGGAGTTCTGGATGAGGTGATAGATGAAATAAGTTTAGTTAAAAGAGAATCTATGTCCTTACAGAATTTAATAGTTGGGTAGGAAGCAGTCAACCTAGTGACAAAGAAGATACCAAATAAGTAGATCAGAGAGGTGCTAGCCTATTTGAAGTCCAAGGGGTTTTACTGAGAGGGGATCAAGGGGATTTTCTTGAAGAGGTAGTATTCGTCATTGTTATTTATCTGTTCTCAAAGAGGACCAATGACATCAGGAGGGTGATGTCTTCACTTGGAAGTGAATTGGATTTAAGTGAGGCAGAATTGTGCAGTCACCAGCCTCACTCTCTTCTCCAGAGTCATGGTCACATTCAAGTACTTCTTACTGTGTTCAAGTTATTCTGCTTGGTGCTGGTATAGTATGAGATAAAGCTGGAAATCTGGTGGTACTGGGTTGTGGAAGGCCTTGAATTCTAGGCGACAGGGAGGGGAAAAAAAGGAAGGAAGGGAATTAACATTTTTATAGCAGCTACTATGCACTGGGCAGTATACTAAGTATCTTTTTATAAATATCATTTCATTTGATCTTCACAACAGCCCTGCAAGCTTATTATTATCCCTATTTTACAGTTGAGGAAACTGAGGCAAAGAGAAGTTAAATGACTTTCAAAGGGCCACACAGCTAGTAAGTGTTTGAGATCAGTTTTGAATTCAAGTCTTCATGACTGGAGGCTCAGTGGTCTATCCACTGTACCACCATCTGCCTTTAACAGAAGCAGAAATGGATTTTCTAACTTACTCATTGAACAACAGGTAGTCACTGAAGATTTTTATTCAGAGGAGAGGAGTGATTTCTAGGATATTTCATTAAGCTTTGGATGCTGTATTTTAGGAGGCCCCCTGACAAAATGTTGTCCAAACAAGAACAACCAGAATAATAAGAAAACTCAAAACTCAGAGAGATTGGTTGAAGGATTTGGCATTGTGTCACATGGAAAAGTTATTACTTGGGGTAACAAAGCCATATTCACATATTTGAAGGGCTGTCACACGGAAGGAGGATTTGTGTTGCTTGGCATATAGTAACAACTTAATAAATACTGTTTCATTCATTCATCTAGATGGAGATATGGTGTAGCTACTTGAAGATGTGGGTCCAGCCAGCTGTGGAGAGGCCAGGGCATTATGGAGGAGGTATAGATTTTAAGGCAACTAAGTGGTCCAGCAGACAGCCTCGGGCCTGCAGTCAGAAAGACCTATGTTCAAATCAGGCCTCAGATACTTAGTAGCTGTGGGACCCTGGACATATCACTTACCCCTGTTTGTCTCAGTTTCCTCATCTGTAAAATGAGTTGGAGAAGGAAATGGCAAACCACTCCAGTATCTTTGCCAGGAAAACCCCAAGTGAGGTCACGAAGAGTTGGACATGACCAAACACGACCAACAGCTTAGATTTAGGAAGTCATTTGCCTAGAGGTGACAGTTGAAAGTGAATTAGATTGCCAAGGCAGAGAATGTAGGCAAGGGAAAGAGAAGAGAAGAGAGCATGATGCTGGCTGTCCAATTGTACGAACATTTACTGAGCACCTATGTAAAAGGCCCTTGCTAGGACGAAGTAACAAGACTTTTGACTGATTGTCAGTTGGAAAGAGTTAGCAAGATATAGTGGGAGATAGTGTGGTGTGGTGAGAAAACCACCGTACTTAGGGTCAGATATAATAATAATGATAATGATGATGATGATATTTAGCAAGTAAGTAAGCACTTAACATGCATTATCTTAATTGGTCTTCACAACAACCGTCTGAGGTAAATGCTCTTATTATCATACCCATTTTATAGATGAGGAAACTGGACCTGAGAGAGGTTAATTGACTTGCCCTAGGTCACACAGCTAGTTAAATGTCTGAGGTAGAATTCAAACTCACGTTCTCCGGACTCCAGGTCCAATGCTCCACCCACCTTAGCACCTGGATTTAGTTCCTGGCTTTTTTGACATACAGTATCTGGCTCATAGTTGGTGCTTAAAAAATGTTTATTGATTGAGTATATGGCCTCGGTCAAAAAACTTCCACCTGTGAGCCTTGGTTTCCTCGTTTGTAAAATGAGGGGATTGAGACCCCTTCCAGCTCTAAAATTTCTATTATCCTAATAGAATGTTATTCTCATTCTAGAATTCTAACATTCTAGAATAATATATTCAAATAATTCAGAATAATTTAATTGAATTAAATTGTAATTGTAGTCAAATATTCTGACTACCACGAGTAGTTAGAATTTGATGTTTGGCTTCCACCAGTCCATTCATACTCTCATTTCTCCCCAGTTAGGGGGTATAGCTGAAGAACAGGAAAAAGAAAATACTAAGTTATAGATATTATCCTAGGAGAAAGAAGGATTGAAAGCATCAAGTAATTTAAAAGAAAAAAATACAAACTGCTCCCCCCAATTTAGTAGTAAAATGTGTTTTGTGTATAAAGGGGAAATGGGTGAGGCATTTAATCTATTAAGGGCAGCTAGGTGGCGCAGTCGATAGAGTGCAAGGCCTGGAATCAGGAAGACTCCTTTTCCTAAATTCAAATCTAGCCTCAGACACCTAACTAGCTCTGTGACCCTAGGCAAGTCACTTAACCCTGTTGGCCTCAATTTCTTCATCTGTAAAATGAGCTGGAGAAGGAAATGGCAAACCATCTTTGCCAAGAAAATCCCAAACAGGGTCACAAAGAGTCGGACACAACTGAAAAAGGACTGAACAACAAAAAAATAAACCTGTTAAATGAGACACTTTGTGAAAGCTGAAGGAATCTGGTTATAAGACTGAGATGGTAGCAGTGTAACTGTGGATAGAAGGGCTAGATAGAGGAGCTGGCTTCTGAGTTTAAACTCTGCCTCTGACACATTTGGGTACTGTGACCATAGCCAAGTCACTGGTCAACCTTTTAAGACTGTAAGTTGTTATCCAGAGAGAGAACTATGGAGTCTGAATGCAGATGGAGGCATACTATTTTCACTTTTTTGTTTATTTCTTTTTTCTTTCTTTTGCTTTTTCCCTTTTGTTCTGATTCTTATTTAACAATATGACTGATGTGGAAATATGTTTTAACATGATTGTACATGTATAATGTATATCAGATTGCTTGCTTATCATGGGGAGAAGGGAGGGAAGAGGAGGGAGAAAAATTTGGAACTCAAATCTTACAAAAATGAATGTTGAAAACTACCT